ACTCGGATGCAGACCTTTTGGCTAAGGAGGGAGCCCAATCTAACAACCTAGCGTCTAGACGATATCTTTGATGAGATTTCACACCTGTCGCGTGGTATTTCAATCTCATGTAGCCATTTATTTCGGGAAGTCAACTCGGATGCAGACCTTTTGGCAAGGAGGGAGCCCAATCTAACAACCTGGGGGTGCCTTAGTCATTTTTTTTAACCTGTCACAGGTTCTTTTATATTCTTGTTTGAACCCTTCGGGGATGTAATGAGTACCCCTCTGGGGGGACTCACTTGACTGTATATCTCGATACCATTAATACAATTATAGTTAACTCTTCTCAAAAAAAAAAAAGAGCTGAGAACTTAAACAAATATTTCAGTCACAAAAAAAAAAATAAGAGATCAAACACATATCAAAGAACAGCAACTAAGAGCAGATATTCCACTCATAACATATAACATTGAACATGAAGACAGGAACACACTATACAATAAACAAGGGCAAACTTGGACAGGTAGAGATTGTATCACATTTTGAGAACTGAATGTTTTCATTGTAACATGGAAACAAATTTGATTTAACAATTGCAATTAAGCGAGCCTTCAGCACATGGCACATGGTGTTCATGAGATGATGCAAATGTCATGTATAGCCAAAAAAACTCATTTCAACACATAATTAAAATTCATCTAGGACTGAAGATAACACAAATTGCAGCAATTTGCTGCATTGCGTGAATATGAATGGTATCTGATGCCCTTTGTATTGTCCTTGTTTAATGAGGACCAATTTTGTTGCCAGTACGGTTCTCAGTGGATGTATCCCACGCAGATCATCCTAATAGTCAATAATGTCCGCTGTATATAAAGTTGCATGGGCTCATTATATTGACTGCTTGGAGTATTTCGAGTTGAGAGCAGCCGAGATGCAGCCATAAAGCCGCGTTGACCACCCTGACCATGCGTTGAGATGGAAGCCGATTCTATTCTTCCTGATACTTTCTATCTTATATCGATACCAGTCATGTATGGCTCCTCGTTTATATTTAGCTGTACATTTGTCAAATCATGACACACTAGTAAATAGCATATACATTATCTAGGTGTCAATTAGCTCAGGATTCATGGAAAGTTTTGGTAAAGTCTTACATTGGCTGCCTACCTAACACAACCCACCTCCTTTACCCGGGCTTGGAACAGGTTAAGGAAAAGTTTAAGGTCCTCACCCGCCTTTAGACAAATCCAGGTGTCAATAGCTCTTTAAGTCAAAATAGCAATAATCTGATGTGCCAGGTAAAAATAGTAAGGATCCAAGCTAGTCATGCAGGCTACCTCTAAATCTTTCAGAAAGTTCAGAGCTCCATTTCCTTAACATCATAATTTATCCTCCCAAATAACAGAATTGAAAAACAGGTCTCACATTCTCAAAGCTCCCTGCTAATCTAGTGTCCCTCATTGCTAGCACTGCTTACAGCCCCAAAAGATCGCACTAAGGTAGGAATTTTCAATGCAAGAACCCAATATATTAAGACAGAACATAGTTTCATACACTTTCCCTAATAATCCTTGTTCGCTCCAACCACCACATGTTTCTGGAAAATACGGAACTTATCCAGAAAAAGGATTCTCTTCATGGCTTAAACAGAAGGAAGACCCTCAAAAAGAACATTTGCATGGCTGCATAAGCACCCAAAATTTGAGCACTCGATGCATCTCTATCAGTACTGAAGACACTCGCACAAACATACCCTCTGTCCAAATCCAGATCATGTGTGGAGTATTGAAACGTTGAAGTTCCTTTTCATGTAAATGCGTAAATTGCAACAGAATACCAAACTATAAGAATGATAAAGTGATTTCTTCAAGACCAACATCAGACTTGGAAACTCAGTGCAAAAAAGATAGTTTGAAGGTGACACATCACACACAATATAATCATCTAATTATGGGAAAGTGTATAGGAAAGAAAACTTGCAAAGGACACATTTATGATGATATGAATTAGTCATGGAATTTATGGTTCTACCTCAAAACTAGCGGATAAAAACTCACAAAAACAATGCAAGAAAGTTTATATGCTCCGGTGCTCTCTTTTGTTCTCGCTAAAAACAACAACAAGAGGAACAATGGCAGTACTTAGAGATCCAATTTGCAGAATATTGCATCAAGGAACAATGGTCTTTGGTTAATGAAGGTTTGCATAAACATCACAATGATACCCACAAGTTTATTGTAGCTGAGATGAGGATGTTGAGATGAATGAGTAGCAAGACAAGAAGGGATAGCATTAAAAATGACTACATTGGGGAGAACTTAGGTATGGCTCCAATAGGCGATAAGATGAGAAAAAATAGACTTCGATGGCCTGGCCATGTGCAGACATACCCAGTTAAGCACTAGTTAGGAGTTGCAAATTGGTTAAGTGGAAGGCTCAAAAAGGCAAGGGATGGAGTAGGCTCAAAAGGACTTGGTTGGAAGTAGTAAGAAGAGATAGGAGACATATGGCTTCACTGAGGGTATGGCCCTGATAGAGCAGAATGTCAGATCAAGATTCGTACAAGCGACCCCAAATAGGTGGGAAAGGCTCTCATGATAATGATGATAAACATTGCAGTGATATTTACAGACGCAAGGTTATTTATCGATTCCAATTTTCCCAAGACTGGTTTCACATACTGAATAATTTATGACTAGGAGTAGACAAGAATATTGTAGGGGCTCAAAAAAACGTTTGCCGGCAGAACAGGGTGGTGACCTAATGTGGATGGCAAGCATAAGTACTCGTGTAACCAGATTAGGTATCTGTTTTTCACACTTCAAACAGGACATAAATAGAAATACTTAGAAATCCAACATACAGAAGGCATATCAACAAAGCAAAAGAATCCGATTTACACAAGAAAAGCATCACACCTTGCACTTCTACAGAATTTCCAATCATTAAGGTACCAATGCTTCTTCATCTTAGTGAAACAGAAGATACAGTAAAAATCATTTCAGATCAGACCACCCCAGTGCTCTAAAAGGCCGACCGCCTAGGCAGCCCAAGGCCTAGGCAGCCTGCCCCTGGGCAGCAGCCTAAGCACTAGGGCACCCGCCTAGGCAGACGCCCAACAAATACCCTTGTTGAGGGCATTTTTTAGTTGTTTTTTTTTCTTTTAAAAAGGGATAAAGGTGAGTTTTAGGTTCATTTGAAACCTAAACCCCATTATAGCCTATTTTAGAGAGAGACAAACCTCAAAAACTAGTGTTCTATGATTTCCATAGCATCAAAGGGTTTCTCAAAGTTACGAGAAATTGATCTACACATCACCCATTGAGATTAGATTTAGTTTTGAGATTTAAAGGGTTTTTTATAAGCTTTTGACCTTAGAAAAAATATCAAAGGTGGAAATTTGGAGTTCGAGCGATCAAAGTTGATGAAATATTTTATTTTTTACATTCCTTGTATTATTTCGAGATGTCTTCTTCGGGATCTAATCGAAGTGGTGATCCAGGATGGAAATATGGCTATAACCCGAATCCTTTAGATAAAATCACAAGATGAAATGATTGTGGCAAGGATACAAATAGGGGCATAAACCGGTTTAAGAAACATCTAGCCGATATCAAGGGGGATGTTGTCCCATGTAAAAACGAGATAAAAAAAATTATGACTATTGTAAAAAAGAAAAAAGAGAAGAGAGATACATCCATAACAGAGATGAGGTCTAGGGTTCGGGTCATGGGTGTCAAGAGGTAGAACAACTTGCCCTATCCTAAACTAGGGGGAACGGAAATGGAGTTGTACTTAATTCTATTATATATTGTAAAAAATTTGTAGTTTTGTAGTATTACTATTATATATTTAATTATTTATAATTAAATAATAATTAGTTTCATTTCATTGTATTAGATTCATATAAAGAAAAGGAACAGGCTTAAATCAAAGACGCTCAATGACCTAGTCTATGTCAAGTATAATCGATACTTCAAGGAGAGGTTTGTTAAGAGAGATAAGAGAGACCCCTCAGATCAAAAAATATGGATAATTCTATGTCGTGGTTGGTTGATGATGATGAAGCCAAGTGGCATGAAGGGTTGATATAAGATACGGTCATGGAGGCCTCAGGGACATCAGCCGACCCTCCTAGGGCCAGTAGATCCTCTTCCAAGAGGACGAGGAAGGAGGAAGAGGATGAAGCAGAGGCAGATTCAGAAGAGACAGAAGAGGACGACCATTATGTCGAAGAGGGAGATGATTCCAATGATGATGGCTTCAACTCCGATGCATATGATGCAGATGCAGCTGACCCTGTTTTTTCTAATGATGAGTGATTGAATGATCACGGATGATTGAAGACTCTTTTGAGTCTTCAAGTCTGTATTTCTTACATTTTTGTTTTCCTCGTGTAATGTGAATCAGTAACTTTGGTTTGGTTTGTAAATTTTAAGTTTTAACTATGTGGGAGCGTGGACTATGGATAATTCGATATGGACTTATGGAATAAGGAGGAGTATATATGCTATGTGGACTTGTAGACTATAGACATTTGATCATGTGCCCTAACTCTTATCTGTTATTTCTTATTTTCTTTCATTTTCTTGATAATGAATTGATGTCTTGCATTCTTGCTAAGTTGCTATCTTGAATTATGGACTAAAATATGCCTCAATATGTATTTTTTAATATGTCTCAATTTGAAATGCATGGATTTATGGATTAAAATATGTCTCAATATGTTTTTTTTTATTTTTTACACAAAATCTAACCCTTAAAACAACTTTTCTTTATATTGGGCCACCCAGCGTGTTTTGAAACACTGGACCACCCATATGATCCAGAGGGTAATGGTCCACAAATTTTAACTCGTAGACCTGGTTCATCACGTAATGAGATTAGATTACTGGACAATGAACATGAAAGTATATTGTTTAATAAAAGAGGTAATAAACAGAGTTAAGAAATACACATGTGCAAGGGAACATTTAATGTGCAGCTAGCAGTTTACACTGGACAAGATATCTTACTAAAACTTTTGCTCGTGTAATTGACTTTGTCTTCGAGTCAATAACATAAATCTCCTCAAAATCAAGAACAAATTCCCAGTCCTTCAGCCGTCGATTTCGATAATGCTTTGTCAAGAAGATCTGTTGGACACCAAATTAAAGTTCAAGGAATGCATTAAAAGAAAAAGTAAACCACTTTAGGGGAGGAACGTTCTTTCGAAGTAATGTGTTTCACATTTGTGATTTACATGCATCACATAATACAACCTCATAATAAATTTCATAAATGCCAAATTAACTTTTTCCGCCATTTACAATTCCTACCTTTATGTGAACCATAAATTTATCGATACTTATGTATAAAAAATGTATACAAAAAGGGCCAAGTTATTCATGCAAGGGTTTCTCTTTCTTTTATTTCTTTTATTTCTTTTATTTCTATTTAGCTTTCATTGTCATATCATCCTCATCATCATCATCTGATCCTTTTTCCAAATATTTGGGGTTGGCTACATGAATCGTCATCTGCGATTCTGCTCTATCAAGGGCCATACTTTCATTGTCCTACATGTTCCCTATTTAGATACCTGACCACTTTTCCATGTCAATGTTCATTCCATTGAGCTAACGCATGAGATAAGTAAATAGAGAACAAGTGACACAACCTAAGAGGCACAGATAATGGATATAGGTACTAAAAAAGACACAGGAAGCAGGTATATGACTCAGCCATTCCAAAAATCCAGGATATGGTTAGAGATACAAGGATCCTATCTAACATATATTGCATATAAGGAATACAAATTCTTACATGATCTAGATATATATCGTATTAAATATCACATTATCTTTAGGTCTATGAAACTATTCATTTCGCTTTAGCACTATAATATGAATGCAAATACTATGCTCCCGTGGGATGATATTATACATCTACTCCCTAGGTCAGAATACTTAGGAGGATTTTTGTAATCTGAAATTTTGGGATCCACCAAAGAATCACGAGATGATTATTTTCAAAAGAATAAAATTTGAAGTTTGAGTTTTTGATGCAGGGGGAAATAAAACCAGAAAAATAACAATAAAAAAAAAAAAAAAGGTAGAGAGAATATGCCTTCTCTCAAAGGTCTGCAAGGGAATCCATCCCAAAATAATCTCTTTACGAGACCAAATTTTATTAACTCATTCACCACCTTTACAATGAAGGGAAAGTCCTTTTAAATAGATCAAAAAGAAAAAGAAGATAAACAACTAACTTTCCTAGTTTATTTCCCTTAACCTATTTTCTCTCATCCCTATCTTCTCTCTCTTAAATTCACGTGCCACCCACGTTTTACCCATTGTTGAAAATATAAACCCCCACGTTTTACCCAAAGCTATTGTTGAAAAGATAAACCCCCCTATATCTAACCTTATCCTATTTATACTCCTCAACTAACCATATTTAACCTTATCCTATTTAATTCCTAAATTTAACCTTATCCTTTTTACATTCCTTAACTAACTAACTCAATCCATAAATATCAACTCACGTACAAACTCAATGCCCTCCTATCCCTGTGCACCTCCAAATTTAAAAGATAAACTCAAAAAATAATAATAATAATAATAAAATTGTAATTTGAATTTTGAATTTCTTTTTTTCGTTGCATCATTCTCTCGGGGTTCGGAGAAGCTCAACCTTGAGCTTATCGAACTCAAATCTTTTAGGAGCCTTCTCAAAAGTTGGTGATGAAGTCCCACCATGAGCCTCGGTATTTTACCTTCAATTTCTTTAAGACTGATGTAAGACTCTTTGCTTGCAAATGTGTTCCAAGAGTAATTGTCGACTACGAACTTGGGTTGATTATTCCTAATTAGGAATGGATCCAGCTCCAAAGAAGCACCATATCAAATCGATGAACACTTTTGACCATCAAATTTTGGGAGATCGATTTTAATATCAAAATCTCATGGTTGTTGTGTAGGACGTGGATCTGTCCTGTAAATTTCTTCATTACGCTTGAAATCAACATTCTCAGTTTGTTGTGGAATTACTGGTGCAAGATGAATGTGGCTAGGAGCACCTTCTTTACGATGAAGATTATTCTCCAACCGCTGCAACCTCTGATCCAACCATTGCATCCTCTGATTCATCTCACGTACTTCAGTTCAAAATCCTCTAGGCGTTGAATCCTCTGATTCATCCTCTGATTCATCTCACGTACTTCAGTTCGAAAATCCTCTAGGGCTTTAGTGAAAATTTCTCCCCAACGATCATCCATAGCTGGAGAAGGATTAGCTTGATTCGCTTTGGGTGGCATTGTAAACTCTGAACCTAACTTGCTTCTCCGGCTTAGCTTGCTTCACTTTTGGTAGCATTGTAAACTCTGGACCTAACTTGGTCTGATACCAATTGATGCAGGGGGCAAATAAACCAGAAAAATAACAATAAAAGAAAAAGAAAAAAAAAAAAAGGTTGACCGAATATACCTTCTCTCAAAGGTTTGCAAGGGAATCTACTCCAAAATAATCTCTTCACGAGACTAAATTTTATTAACTCATTCACCACCTTTACAATGAAGGGAAAGTCCCTTTAAATAGACTAAAAAAAAAAAAAGATAAACAATTGACTTTCCTATTTTGTCTCCCTTAACCTATTTTCTCTCATCCCTATCTTATCTCTCTTAAATTCACGTGTCACCCACGTTTTACCCATTGTTGAAAAGATAAACCCCCTGTTTTACCCAAAGCTATTGTTGAAAAGATAAACCCCCCTAGATCTAACCTTATCCTATTTATACTCCTAAACTAACCATATTTAACCTTATCCTATTTAATTCCTAAATTTAACCTTATCCTATTAACATTCCTAAACTAACTAACCCAATCAATAAATATCAACTCACGCACAAACTCAATGCCCACCTATCCCTGCGCACCTCCTAATTTAAAAGATAAACTCAAAAAAAAAAAATTATAATAACAAAATTGCGATTTGAATTTTGAATTTCTTTTTTTCGCTGCAATCAGTTTTTTACCACTTAGGTCTCACACTCAAAAAAACTCCACGGTCTCTATTCAATCTTGAGACATTGTTTATTACAAGTGCAAAGAAAGTGCAATTAGGAAATTTTTTTATTAAGAATACTCTATGGGTAGAATAGATTACATCTACAAAAATTGGGGTTCTGAAGTTAATCCTAGAGTTGGTTTTGCTCAAGGGCATAAGTAGACAATATACTCCGGCAGGAGAATAAAATTTATGAGAATATAATATTGTCCTGCAAATTTCTATAGTCTGCTTTTATGCTTTTTTTTTTTAATTTATATAACAAGTATCCTATTTGTATCAATGCTATGTTGATGAACACAGGTATGCTAACACACGGAGCCCCTCATCTTTAGGCCTGCAAAGAGTATCGCAGACCTCCAAAGGGAAATGATGTGTTTCAAGCATTTTATCATCAGTCCAACTACCCAAGGGAAGTCCAGGTTACAGGAAACAGCAACAAAAAAAAAAAATCAGTAACATCAAAACTACAACAAGGCTATAACATAAGATGCACAGATACTTCAATTGGGAGCCATTTTCCATGTCAAAAGCTCTAAACTGCATGTACAATAAATATGAAAAAGATGTAGTTGTGTCCCCAATCACATGCATCCATGCATTATGGTTGCCAACCAATAATTGCTCTGAATTGTTCTTTATCAGTGGATTCATGAAAGCCTTTGAAGTTCCCACTAAAAGAACATGTAATCATAAGGTCCTTTAAGTTATTACCACCCATGAAGACACTCTTACTGCTCTACAAGTTTATAATTTATCAATGAATTCACAGCTATTCATTACAGACATTCCCGCCCCCCTCTGGCAAGTAGTTTGAGTATTAAATTGGAGTGGGAAAAGGCTGATGACCATTTGGACAGGGATGTCCTTGACGAACTTTTCTTTTCATCATTATTGCTGAGATATTTGCCAGATCCCTTGCTAGGTTGTACTGGGAAGGTACTCTTTTTGGCTTCAAAGCTCCAAAACTTGGAGAGTCCATTTCCCACCTCCATTACGCGTATGATAACCTTGTCTTTTTTGCAATGCTTCTTTCTCCGAAGTCAATAACCTCTAGGTTTTCCTTCGCTATTTCAAGCTATCCACTAGGATTAAGGTCAACCTAGCTAAATTCAAACTCCTAGGTATTGGGGTCACCTTGATGCTATCTCCAAATTTGAAATCCCGAATAGGATGTAGAACTAACTCTCTGCCTGTCAAGTATCTGGTCTCCTTCTGTGCATTGGCAATCCCACAAGACCCTTTAGGACCTAGTCATCAAGCGCCTTCAACGCACATTGGGCCTATGGGAAGGTCGTTTCCTCTCCCTTGGATGTCGGACCTCATCAAAGGCACTCCCATAATATCCCAATCTATTTCATGTCTCTTTTTCTTATGAGAGCCTTGGTTATTGTTACCACTGACCACCTCATGAAAGCTTTCCATTGGTCAGTTGATACCTCTAAACACAAAATTTATCTCGTAAAATGGGATAAACTTTTCTACCCAAATCCTTAGGGGATCTAGGCATTCCTTATCTAAAAAGGATGAACCTACCCCTTACTAGGTAATAAAGATGGTGGCACTTTGCCATCCACCATCAACTCCTGTGGAGATAGGCAATCCTCCACTAGTACAGCACCGGCCAACATGGATGGTTCCGCTTAATAGACCTAATCAACACTGAGTGTCTAGGCCTATCAATAGAAATTTCTGGCTTCCAATAGGTTCAAAGTTAACCACAGAGATAAGAGTGTTTTTTTCAGTCCAACTACTAAATAGGACACCAAACACACAAAATTGTATGGCCAGATTTATTCCTAGTGGAAAACCTACCCAATGCCATGGTCTCCCAATGCTTGGCCTTGTCCCTGACCCCATTGGTATGGAACCTTACCTTTAGAAGACCGTTCTCAGATTTGGAGACGGAAGATTTTCTTATGCTCCATAATATGTTGCAATATTTGTTTTTTACTGGCTGTGGTTTGGACCGAGTCATCTTGACTAATTCTTCTTCCATAAAATTCCATGTTTCCTCTTTCTACCAGTCCATCTCTTCGACTCCCCCTCACCCCTCCCCTACTAGCAAAGTCTGAATCCCTTCTTTCCTACCCAAAATCCAAGCCTTTAGCTGGAAGATAATTCCTAAATGCAGCTACTTGTGCTCTGAAATAGAAGAGACCCATTCCCCTCTCTTTCTTTACTGCAGGATTGCATCCTTTATTTGGGAATTGACACTCAAGAACTTTAACTAGCATGAGTGACCCCAGAATCAGTTGACCAACTCTTTACCTCCTTCTTCCCGCCATAGCCCAAGCTTGAGATCTTCCTTTGGAGAGCTCTAGTTATGGCAATTCTCTGGACGGATGGACCATTTGGTGGGAGCATACTCAAGGATCTTTAGAAGAAAATTCAACTTGAGCATGGCTATTGCAGATGCCACTTGTAACCTCACTATATTTTGGGCATCCAACTTCAATCCTTTCAAGCATAATCCCAAAGCATACTTCTTCTCACATTGGGTAGAAATAATCAAGTTTAGATCTCACAAGGCCACTCGCTCCTCGCAGTAAGCCGCACCCTCCAAGGGCTCAACCAAATTAAACATTGATCGTCGCTCCCTCAGAAATCCAGGACCTTGTGGTTTCAGGTGCATCTTCGGAGATAATGACAACAATGCCATTGGTTACTTCTTCGGATTCCTTATGGCAACTACAATTAGGCAGAGGCCAAGGCCCTGCTTGAAGGCCTTACACGGTTCGACCATAGTTGGGGAGAAAATGTTATAATCGAAGGACAGAATGCCAATGTATTTCTTTGGGCCAACACGGAGTCAATGTCCTTGGCACCTCAATTTTATTTTTCGCTATATTTTTTATTTAAAAAGGCCAGCCTTTCGTCATATTTGGTGGGAGGTTAACATGGAGAATGACACTCTAGCCACGCAAGGCGATGCCACCTTGGGCCCTCTCTAATCTTACAATTTGGTTTTTTGTTCATCCGACTTTTAGTCTTTTCCACACTCTTTCTCCATTACTCTCTCTCTCTAACCTACACCCTTCTTTCTCTATGTCTCACCTCTTTTCTTATCTCTCTATCTTTTTCTCTATTTCTTCTTTTCTTTACTCTGCCACCCCCCCCCCTCTCATTTTTCTCTTCCCCCAAGGCAGTTTCTAAGTCACTTCTATTCTCTCTAAGCACTCAATTGGTGGGTTGTCCCATCTCACCCCCGATCTTCATTTCTTTCTCTCCCCCTCTCCAGCCCAGCTTTTTATTACATATTATAGGTTATTCCAAGTTTGGGACCATCCCTATCTCTTCCCTACCTCTAATGGATGAGTGTCCAACTTGTGGATGGCCTCCACTAGATATTTTGATGTTTTCTCTTCAAATCCTTAGTGGCTGAGCACCCAACTTGTGGGTGACCTCTATGTATTTTTGCCATCTACACTTTTTTTGCCTCTGTTTCTTTTCTATTAGCTTTGTTGTCATTTGCATAGACCACCTATGCAAGTGGGATATCCTCTGTTTTATCTCCTCCCCGCCACTTTTTTCTTCTTTTTCCTTCCCCTTGACATATCACTTTAAAAGGGGGCGGTGTCACTTTAAAAGGGGGCGGTCATCGATTCCTTACATTTTTTTCTCTCTATTTATTCCTTACCTTTTTGTATTAGAGCACCCAGCATGTGGGCTACCTTATACTCACCTCTCGTGAGTACTCTTCATAATTAACTACTTTAGTGTGTGTACATATACATATGTATGGATAACACTCACAAACACTATGAGAAAATTTCTACAGTACTTACTCATGGCTCATCAACATCCAAAGTCCATCAAACAGCTATGATTATCTAATAGTATTTGAATTTTAAATTTTTCTACATATCTAAGTTATCTAAAATTTGAAGTGTGTTTACATCTAACCAACTCGCACAGATATAAAATATCAAACAAAATATGTTTTGAAAATAAAATGACAAAAATTTCCCTGAAATATTTGTAGTAGTTTCGTCATTTTTATTGTTTGAATTATTTTTTTATCTTTATTTAGGTGTGCCACATTGAGATGCACAAGCCTACAAAATTTAAGGTTAATCTGATTTATAAAAAATTATTAAAATTCAAACACTATGAAATAATCGTGACCCTCTGATTATGGACTTTCAACAGTGATGAGCCATGAGTAAAATATTGTCGAAGTTTACTCATGCATGTTTTTAGGTGTTTTCATATATATATATATATATATATATATATATTTATGTGTGTTTGTGTGCGTGCACGTGCATGTGTGTGTGTGCGTATGTTTGTGTGTATGTGTATGTGTGTGTATATAGTGTCACCATTTTCAAAAAAAAAAAAAAAGACTTTTTATTAATGTATTGTCGCTAGATGCTAACTAATTCGTCAAATTGAAGTGACTTCTTTTATCACCATCCATGAAAAGGAGGACATTATCAGTGAATGGTTAATGGGAAATGCATGGGCAACCAATTGGGAATGTCATCCATGTCCAAGCTACTTCTCAAAATCCTGCATTACTAAGCATCATGCATGTTGCATTCATCATTATTTGGTAGTTCGAAGGAGAATATGTTACTCCACGATGCACTTTATTGCTTTTATAGATTACATACGATTCTTGTCTTTGATCATTACAATGATACATGTGCCCAAAACTCTTTCTCCATTGCAACATAATTGTTAATATGTTAAAAGATCATCATCATCATCATCATCATCATCATCATCATCATCATCATCATCATTATCAGAGCCTTTTCCCAACTGTATGGGATCGACTACACAAATCTTGGTCAGCTCTTCTGCTCTATCAAGGGCTATACGCTCAATGAGGCCATAAGTCCGTATATATTTTCTCACTACTTCCAACTATGTCATTTTGGGCCTACCCTTAACCCTTTTTGAACCTTTCACTTAAATCAATTCGCATTTCCTACCAAGTTTTGTACTGGATCCACAATGCACATGGTCAGCCCACCTAAGTCTACTTTCTCTCATCTTAATGGCTATTAGAGCCACAGTTACGTTCTCATAAATGTATTCATTACGAATTCTATCCCTTCTTGTCTTGCAACTCATCCATCTCAACATACTCATCTTAGCGCATCATATGGGTATGTTGTTTCTTGACCACCTGACATTCCCTCCCATAGAGCAAAGCTAGTCTCATAGTTGTCCTATAGAACCTCCCATCAGCTTCATTGGTATGCGGCAATCACATAAAACTTTGGTTGCACATCTTCCCTTCCCCCACCTAGTTCCAATTCTATATGCGACATCTTCATCAATCTCTCTATTTTCTTGAATTATCGACCCAAAATATCGAAAATGCGCTCTTTCTTATATTTCTTGATCGTCAATCTTAACTACTTCCTTGTCTCTACTCCTATAATTACTAAACTACATTGCATATACTCTTAGTTCGGCTAATTTTAAAACCTTTAGATTCTAGAGCATACCTCCAAAGTTCTAACTTTGTGTTGGCGCCACTTCGGGTCTCATTGATCAAAACTATGTCGTCCGCGAATAAAAAAAGTAAGAGGATAACATATTAAAGGATCAACAACTACAAATAAAAATAGTAAGAAAAACAAAAATGTTGAAAAAGAAAAATATGGAATATAAATAGGGAAACAAGAATGGGGAATAGACAACAAGAAGCAAGTTTAAAAGACAAAGTGGAGAGATCTACAAGATTGGAAATGGAAATAAAGGCAAAAGATTAATCTTCACATAGAAGAGAGGTTTCATCCAGTCTTAAAACATAACAAACTTCAAATCAACGAAGTGAAACTGGCTACGCTTCTAAAGAGGGCACTTCTGAAGCCTCTTTTCTATTACAGAGGGCAATGGCTTCAATAGCAAAGAATATTATCACATAGCCAGGTAACGAGAAATAAATCAAGGAATTGGTTTTCACCTACAAGTTAACACCACAAAAACATGACAAAGAGAAACAAGGAATATGGTAGGAAGCTCTATAGTCCCAAAATGATGAAAGTGATCAATCAGCCACTAGATACACCCTCTTTGGATTCTCGAATCTGTAGTGCAGCCAACAACTACAGATCTTAAGCCCTTCACCTTCCAACACAAGATTGTACCTCTCTTGTTATACAGAATGGATGCTCGCCATGCAAACGGCAAACTTCTCTCTCAAATACAATGGGGCTTGATCCCTTTGGAACAAGACCCTAGCCTTTGATGCCCCACAAAAAAGGTCCCCGGGAAATGGGGTGTAGGACTCCACCAAAACTATGGCAAGGACTATGGCCACAGAAAATAACAAGTCAATCGCACAAACAAGTGGAAACATAATATGCAGTCCAATACAATATAAAAGGTATAGAGTTTCTCTTAATCGTTTTTTGGGTAAATAGAGTTTCTCTTAGTCCTTTTGATAATTTATATTAATAGAAATAAAAATTGCAACAAACATGCAAAAGCACATCCCAATAGGTGAATATAGAGTAGTAGAGGCGACACTCAACAAGCTCAACATCAGACAAGTTATGTTTGTGTTAGCAAAAAGGCCAGTTATCTCCTAGGCTCAATTTCATTCCAATGGATATCATATGCACACAGTTGATCAATTACAATGCCCTGAACCAAAGAATTGCCATTTACAAGACATTGTCTAAACAATATGTAAGATAAGATATCATATTCAGATTCCAAGGAAGCACATAATATGATGCCCATACCTTCATGATCCCTCTTTCAGATTTATATAGCGGATCCCGAGGTCCATCGATCGGTGGTTCAGTAACATGATAATAAGCATAATCACTTTTTGAACAGCGGATGTACTTCATCATGAAAAAGAGATTAAACAAACATAATATCAGATAGAGGTTAAAGGATCAAGATTAAGATAACACACGCAAACTTCAGAAGTTCCTATGCAGTATATAGAAACATATTACATAATAAGATAGAGTTCAACATTCCAGCAGGGGGGAGGGGGGAGGGGGGAGGGGGGAGGGGGGGGGAAGGAGGGATTCAATGATCTACATAAGCCAAGATGTGGCGTTTGTGTTTTTGTTTTAGTTAGTTTCATGACGCAAACATGGGCTACAAGCCCATTGTCTTACACTTCCCTATATACTTGTTATTTTTCACCCTTTTATGCCTTCTATTGGCTAGTTCTAAAGGATAAATTACTGCTTTGGAAACATTCTCCAGTGATGATATTCCAACTTTCTTGCATTTGGATCATGTTCGAGAGATAGAGACAGACAACCACTGCTCCAGTTTTTTTTCTTGATAAATAGCTTCTGCTTCCATTTTTATCACATTTCTATGCAGCTTTGCAATATGGCTTTTTCACTTCTAGAGAGAGTCAATAGCTTCATAGCCATTTCAAACTTTTGCGCTTAAGGGATGCAATCTTGTAATGTAAGCAATGTTAAAAAAATTGACTCGGCCAAGGTACTCGGACCCTAGCCGAGGCGAGTCACTCGACCGAGTCCGAATAACTTGGGCAAGTCCAGCTCACTTTTTTTTAATGAAAATGAACATAAAAATTGACATATATACATATTTAGTGACAGATTTTTCAATCAAAGCGTTGAAAGCAAGTTGGTTAGGCCGTTTAAAATAAATTTGGTCCTTCGCAGCAGGTTTCAGGTTCAATTACTGTTGGGTAATTTTTCTTTTTGGGGAACTCTCCTCGTACCAAAAGAGTCTTTCAAAATAAAAACTTTCAAAAATGATGTTTCAGGGGGGGGGGGGGTTCGATCTGCAAGGAAACTTCGTCACCGCTACCCGTGGAGCCATTTAATCATAAACAACTAAAAGTCGCCGCATTATATAAATAAAAACTTATAAAGTTGTTGGACACCCTACTCGCCCAAAACTCAGGTCACCCTTAGGGCGATTCCGAGTTACCCAGCCGATTCCGAGTGACGTCGGCCAAGTCTTAAAACTCTGAATGTAAGCATGCAGAATTCGTGAGATTTGTAGAATGCTAAAGGGTGGAAAATCATAAGTTATGCTGAGCATGCAGAACTAGTGAATCTTGTCAATAATACCAAGGAATTGGTTTACAATCATGCCCACCTCCTTTTATGGGTGCAGTACCAGACTACCAGCTACAAATATACGATTTATGCTATTGTCATCACTGTAGTTTTTGTCTCAATGAAACCATGGAAGTCAGATTTCTGGTACTCAAATGTTGCTTAAAGCAAAGATCCAACAAGAGTTCCAGGGAAATGCATGAAATATTAGGTGATGAGGCTAGCACTGCCATCATTCATAGTTTCTTAGTCGAACTACTATTGCAAAACCAATGAGTATGGAAGCCCAACGCATTCTCCACAATCTCAATATCATCCATCGACTGTGAATGGAAGCACCTATAAGACTAATGGGTCCTTCTAAATGTACATAGCCACAAATTTCACTAAATTACTAAGCACCAGGCCACATCGAAGTAATGAAATTTCTCACTCGATTAGCTAGAGTGAAAGGGTTCGGAAGCACCACCAATGGTTTAGAAACAACTAGGCACCTAGCTTATTTCAATAAAGAAAAACAGCAAAGAAGAAATGAAGAGTAGCCAGCTTTCTCATTACAGAGAAGATTTGAAAAGAACTCCATGTAAAATGTTCAATCCGAAAATCAAATGGCAGTAATGGCATAATGTCAACATGTCGTTCATGCAACAAACCAACATGGCTAGCTAGAAAGCAAGCACACATACAAGTTGTCCATGTCCCCAGAGACAGGTAGCGACTTGATACATTTAAACCAGCCTTGTTTGAGTTATAGAACGATTAATATGTCCCCAGGATGGCACACAGTATATCATGGAATCATCTTCAAGTAATAATGAGGTTGAATAAGGGCTCCTTTCCAGAATTCAATGTAAATTTTATGATATCATGGAAGTTAAACTAAAGTTGATTGTCCTACCATGGAATTGAAATTTCCAATAATGCTCATCTTCAATACAAGTTCTTGGTCCCCAAAATTATTCCTTAAAGCACAATCCCACATGCTGTAGCCTTTTAATCGTTTCAATATGTCATGGAGAATGTAGAAAGAGTAATATGATATTTCAGTATGGTTTTAAAATAACATAGAATCTTCTGTAACCTTCCTCCTATACTGTACAGCATTCAGAGGACTTTTAATGAGAAAAAGGCAGGTTTATACGGTGCTTCCCAACTAAGGAAAATGTTAGAGGACTTTTGAAGCCCAGTTTTGACAAAGCTTTGTGGAAAATCAAGAGACAGGAGTCCATCTTCCAAGTCGAGGCATTCTGTGCAAACTCCAAAGAAGTAAAAGAACTACAGATCATCTGTTTTTTAGACTGTAGAGGGTTACATCTTAAAAGTTCAACATTGTTTCACATAATTCTCCCTCCATACATGCTGCGGCTCTTAAGTTTGTGTCCCTAGTTGTTTCAAACAATTTGGGCCGTTTGGCTCAAGCACAGTTGCAGGGTTTTGAAAAGCCGAGCTATAGTTGGGGTTGAGAAACTTATCTTAACTTTCATCGTCACTTGGGCAAGGATCACAAAGGAGTTTCTGGTTTTCTCTTCAGGGAACTTCATGCGGCCGTTGGAGAGTCACAACTCATACTAACTGACAATAATCCCAAGGTCAAGCCTATGGCTTCAATGGGGTAATCAAACTAAACTTTGATGGTTAGTCCTTAGGCAACATGAGAGCAGCACATATAGGAGGCCTCTTTAGAGATAGTTCAGCCCATTCCACTTTGTTTTTCATGTGTCCCACTGCCACTGCCAACCCACATTGGCTGAGGCACAAGCCCTTATAGAAAAAAACTCTTCAATAGTAGATAGGGTCAGTCTGAAGTGGACTCCCAAAATGTAATTCATTGGGCAAGATTGCCATGGACATTGCGTCCCATTTGATAGAGAATCTTTGAGATCACTAGGACTGTCTGTCTTCATGCATGCCTGGATAGAGGCTCATGAGGCTGTGGACACCTTAGCAAAAGCAAGTGAAACCACCACAAACTTGATGACATGTTTTGGATTTCCTTTCCTTAGAGAATTCTAGTTGTAAACAATATATGTTTATGACTTAATACAATACAGTCAATTTCATAAAAATCAATAAATGAATAATCTAGGGATGCCAAATGTCAGGATATCTTTGTTTACTATAAATGCCTACTACTATGGCGTCAGTGTTCTCAGGGCATGATGTTTGCTGTGACAGCTGAGAAGTGAACCCACTTCAGGTTCCTAAATACTTGCAACTCATCAATCAGCTCTAATTGTTACTAAGGAGGATCGGTTTTCAAATCAATTCATACGCTCATCAATCTAGGAACTATCCTTCGCAACTTGCCAGTAAACTTGAAAATTACATCATGACCTTGATATAAAGTATTTGACATAACCATAAGATACTGCCATAGTTTTAGATAGCCAGCAAACCACATTGTTTCTTATATATCCAGGGCATTTAAAGTTCTAAATGATGTATCAGTTATCGTCCAGACCTTTCTTCACAGTCCTTGAGTGAAATAATTTGGCATTGTGGTGGCCACCTGTCACCGGAGATTAGATGGTTGACATTTCTTGCATGCCATTTCTCCCCACAGACGTTCTATTGTGCATGAGGACTTATTATGTACCAAACATAATTAAACAAACTGGTGTGTTAACAATTGATGACTTAGGTTCGGACTCGTCCAAGTCACTGGGATACGGCAACATGCCCGGCCGATTTGAGAAAAAGATACCTTAGTATTTCCTCAGAGACTTGGACGAGTGTTAGTGAGAGTCAGCCAACTCTGACCACTGACTACGGGTCAGGACCCTGGTGGGTCTAAACCCGAGTTTTTTGAGTTTTAAATCGTTGAAAAAAAACTAATTCCTTTCAAACTTAATTGCGGACATAAAAAACAATATTCCAAAATTTTCCTTCCCCATGAACAAATTTGCAAAGATCTTACCAAGAACATACTTCCACCTGGTTAGGATAATATAAAGTTTCAATCCAGACAATTACCATAATCCAACACTAAATAGAAACTCTAGTCGTTTGAACAAATTAGTTTGCAAGTTTCGAAACCTTAAAACAAATCAAAAAGTTTAAAAAATACCGCCACATCATATTGCTCTTAGAACTCTATATTAATCCTCTAAGTTATAGGCAGCTCTAAACCCCAAGTAGCAACAATATGGTGAGTTGGTACAAGCATAGGCTACCCCTGTGGCTCACATGCAAAAAAAGTAATGCTCACGGCATAGACTAAGTTTCAAGGGTGATAATGAACCAAAAAGTGTCTTGACAAAGCACATTAGCATACCCATTTACATGTTTTCCATATTCCACAAGAGCACACGGAAGAAGCATTCAACAGGAGAACATTCAAAAGTAAATTATAACAAAATGGCCAAATTTACCTTCTTGGGCATGGGCGCCAAGACCCTAGGAATCGCATACACATCTGTGTCTGGAGGAGTGACATACATCTACAACCATCATCAGAAGCAATTGCAAACATTAGCACAAGGTGACAAAGCTAAACGAACAACTGCTCAAAACAGCCCCATCACAAACGTCATAGATAGTGATTATATATAATTGAGCACAATAAGGTTTCTCTAAGACAGGGAACCATAAGAACCAGAAATAACACTGTAATCGAGCATAATTTAATAATCAAACCAAAACAAGAAGAGTGGAAGCGATAAATCAGAGATTAAATTTATACCGAAATATAGAGAAAACCCTAGTCCCTAATTCCCAGCTTTTCTTTCCCCAATAATTTTTATCCTGAAGAAACCAGAAAAGAAAAGGCATAACCAAATCCCACACTTTGTTCCTTCAAGTTTTGGCCATCAAAACAAGAAGTATAACAGCAACTCAAACTTAAAATGCTATGATAATTCACTCAGAACAATCCAAAAATTCTTCTTGTATTTTTTTTTGAGAAAGAAAACAAACAGAAATACAACCCAAAAATTCTTCCCTCAAAAAAGAAACGAAAAAAAAAACGAAGGCCTTAAACCATCGAAAGATAGCAGCAACTCACAGCCCAAACACTCCAAAAAGATAAGAAAACCCACCTCTCTGAAGTCATAGACATCGTTATCAAGGTCTGGGGGTTTTCTTATGAAGAAGTCACAGTCAAGAAGTCGGATTTTATGGAACTCATCCTCATTGATCTTGTAATCGACCACCATCTCAGAGTCCCATCCCTCAGTCGAAACAAAGGTCTTGCTGTCGACCATCTCAATGTCGTCGCTATGAGAAGGCCGCAGGCTGTCGTACTCGACGTCATAATCTTTCTTGTTGTCCACCTCTTCCACCTCGTCCTCCTCGTATTCGAAGTCATCCGCGCCTCCACCCTCTGCTTCCCCCTCATCTGCTCTCGCCCTCCAATCCCTTCTACTAAAATCCACTATATCCTTTTCCTTCACATTCTTCTTCTTATAATCGATATCATGGGGGGTAATCAATGGGGTGTTGGTGAAAGTAGATATGGAGGAGAGATAAGGAAGAGAGGAATGGGCAATGAGACGAGAATGTGAGAGTTTGGGTGAAAATGGGTGGAGACGGAAAGGGGTGGAGAGAAAGAGGGTGGAGAAGGGGATGAGTTTATGGGAAGCAAGAAGGGCACTTCCCCCTGGACTATTCATCTCTCTCTGCAACTTCTGAGACAGTCTCTCGCCCTCTACGCGCCGAGATTGACAAACAAGCAAGAGTTACGCCGCTCGCAACCTTCCTGTTGTCCTCGGCGACGACTGGATATTCGCCATTTTGTCGTGCGTTTTTTTTTTTTTTTTTTGGAAATTTATCAAATTTGCCGTAAGACATCACGTACGTAACACCTTGTTTATAACCTTTTAATTTAATTTCAAAATGTCAATAAAGAAAGGGGAAGTATACCTTTGGGTGTGATTTCAATATTGGAAATATTTTGTAATAGATTTAAAATATATTTTTATTTTTATTTATTAAGTTTAAAGCTTCAAAATAGTGTTAGATAAACTACTCTATAAAAATTTAGAAATTTTGAAAATTGACGGTTAAAAAATACATTACAAAATGTATTATTTTTAAAACTTAGAAATCTATTTTTTTCTCGTGTCCATGCATATTGCTGTCAAGATTATTGATTTGAGGATATTTAAACATCAAAACGGATGATATTTGGACATCAAAACAGCCTATTCTCATTAAATTTGTTATATAAGCTCTAATTTGATAGTTTAGAGCCTCAGTTAGATATAAATTTTTCCTTTTTACCCTTTGTACAAGAAGGTCACAATTAATTTTAACTATTGGATATGAAATTAGGTAACTATATTTATTTTATTGACCAAGCTCAAAGTTTAAAAGAAATTTTTTCGAACTTTATGACACACCTAAGCTTTCAGATTTCACATCGGATGGTTGTTAGTAATTATGACCTACCTCCCTGTACAAAAGGTAAATAGTTTCATTGTATACAATCCCAACTTTAACAATCCAATTAAGACGCACCTCTAAATTTTATTAATTTTGATGTAAAAAATTCTTAAGATTATCTCAAAAATAGTTAAAATCAAGTAAATATATAAACATATGAAAATCTTGAAAATTGACGATCTAGATAATATAGTGCAAGATGCACTTATTCTTGCACTCAAAATCTTTTTGTTTTTTCATATTCTTATCTCTTGATATCTAGATGATCAATTAAAAGGTTTTTTCAATATTAAAACAATTTTTTTCGATGGATTTTTGAGATGCATCGTTGCAACCAATGGTTTAAAAACCGGATCGGTGACCCGGATCGGGCTTTTCAAAAACCGATCCGGGTCGGCGAATCGGCGATCCGGATTGACGAATCGGCGGTCCGGATCGGAATCGAGTGAA